CAGAGTGGGGAGCACAACAGGCAGATCTACGAAGTACACTGCTGAGGGGAGCAGCAGGTGGGTCAGGAGAGGTCTGCCGCGCCATGTGGATCTCCTCTGGGGCAGGCAGGATCGAACTCATGCGGAAGTGGCTTTAGCTTCTTAGTGCTGTGCTTTAGCCTGCTGCGCCACCAAGGAGGGCCTACCTGTTGGTTCTTACCTATACTGTCTACCCTAATGCTATATCTCAGATGTCTAAAATAAGGTAAGAAGGACAAAGAAATAGCCTTTCAAGCGTGCCTCCTATTTTCTGGTGTCCTGTCCCCTGGACTCTCGTAGCCCCTCTGGTGCCAGAGTACTCTTCTCAAACTTCAGACTACTATTGTGTCTGACTTTCTGTTGACCTGACGCTTTTCTTCTTCGCTGATAGCCTGTGCCTGTTTGTCTAGTTTCCTGACTCTTGGCCCAATCAGATTCTTCATATCTCTTGTTTTTCTTGTCAATTCAGCTACTCCTTCATCAGCCCTTGGCACACATTGCAATCTCCCCATCCCAGCAACTTGCTCAGACCAGTTGACCCCACAGCAATTATTTCCAAGGCTGCTAGTATCCAGTATATACCGGATTACAAACAGTTTACAATACAGTACGCAATGAAATAAATAAATTTGTCTGTACATTTGAAAGAACTAGAATGTAAAGTTCTAAATGAAGGTAGATCTTCAACAGTCTTTTGTTAGAATTTAACACGAGGGACATAAAAATTAGTGGAATTCAGCAAACTCATAGGTATGAGTCAATCAACAAATATCTGAGTGCCTACCAGAGGCAAGGCACTAAAGCACTGTACTTGAAATGAAAGGATGTCTAGCCACTGAACTATATTTACTTTGCAACAAATAAACACGGTGGCAGAAGATGTTCCCTGGGGAGGCTGCTAAGAAAAATTTCTCAAAGAAGAAAAAGAAAGGACTATAAAATCCATTCGAATGGTGTTATAGCAATTAAAATTGTGGATCTTAATTTACTCCCAGCTGAACTGGTTGATGGCATATATCAGCAGGGCTTGGAAAACCAGTTTGGTGTTTTAGATATTCTGAGCGAGGTGACTTTCAGCCTTGTCACATGGCATTCCCAAGAGTTCAGTTCCTCATTCCAATCCACTCCGTGTTTATGAAAGTGCATTAGCTCTAACAGCAAGCAGGGGGAAAAATGTCAGGGCAGGAAGTCATCCAATCCTGATAAGTTGATATGTAGAATAAAGTTGATGGTGTTATGTATTGCTAAGGCAGTTCTGGTTAAGGGTTATGTGTGTGTACAGCTGGAGGAGGGGCTGACAACACGGAATGTAGATGACTAAAGTAGAAGCGAGCTGATGTATTCAGAGCTTATGTTGCTACAGGTGAGATCGGTTACCTACTAGGCAACTGAAATTTCAAACTTCTGCTTAGTGGGGACCTGAGTGGACAAATGGTGACGGATAGTTGCAGATATCAGCAGACATTTTAAATTTTATGCTCAAATGAACGAGCAATGAACCAGGAGAATAAGTTCCGTTGTTTTCGGCTGCTTGTAATTTTCACCTTTTTATTTAAAACCGCAGCGTCTTTTTCAGTGAATGCCTATGTGACTGTGACTTATTACAATGATACCAGCAACGACACTACAGTAGAGGCATGTGAATGCGGTGTTTATGGATTAGCCTCACCAGTGGCTAATGCTATGGGGGTGGTGAGCATCCCTAAGAACAACTACCAAGCTTGTGACTACAACACTGAGTTTACTTATACTCAGGAGCCCTGGATTGCGCTGATAGAACGAGGCAATTGTACATTTTCGGAAAAAATTCAAGCTGCAGGCAGAAGAAATGCTGATGCTGTTGTGATTTACAATGGTCCAGAGACTGGCAACCTTACCATACAGATGGCAAACTTCGGTAAGTAGCTACCCATTCTGCTAAAGGGTTAATGTCTTTGTTTATCTTCAAATGGCATTTTCCATCTAGAATTACCCCAGGATCTGGTGATGAGATTGTAAATAATGTTCCTTTATATTTTCTTGTCCAGCACTACTTAGAAATACTTTACTGTTATTATTCAGTATTTCTAAGTGATTCATGTTTTCTTTCAGCCCTCTTAGCTGTATTAGTTTTCGGTGTGTGTTATGTAATGGTTGTTTAGTAAGTGTGCCTTTACCTCTAAACATTGAAGAAAACAAATATTTGGATTTCGCTATTAAGTTTTACTTTGCAGTTTGATTCATTGTCTATTGTAAAAAAGGTTGCATATATTCAAGCACAGGGTAGTTGCAAAACTGATTCATTCTTAGGGCTAACTACCAGTATATTGTAAGTTTGTAAAATGTTTATGAAAATGAGAGCTCAACTATCTGTAAGCATGTGAGATTTTGCATCTGTGGGACTAATACACTAAGCAAGTACTCTGTAAGAAAGACTGTACATTGGAAAGTACATGGCAGAAATAGGATAACACTATAATTTACAACATAAGTAAAGATTTCCCTTAGAAATGTTTACTTATGACTTCAGTAAATAGCCATCAATTCTTCACTACCAAGAGGCATTTGCTTCTAAGAATGGCTGTTTTTTGGTTAATGCCACTTTCCCAATGCATGGTTTTTAAGCCAGTGAAGAAGTACTACATTTAATCTTAGCCAAAAGGCCAAGCAAGAACTTATAAACCAGTGAAGAAATAGATGTCTGAGCCACATTTTCTATACTGAGGGTGGGTGGTGGTGTTTTGGGTCCCGGCCTGGCCACAGGGGGAAAAAATGATAATAATTTCAAACAAGGTAATAAGTGACAGAATGCAGTGTCAGGGTAATTGGTGTTGTCATTGCCAAATCTGGCCTCTGAGAAAGTTAATGTAAATTAAATTAAACAGAGTCTAGAATTGTCAAGGAGAGAAAATCAATTTTGTGTTAGTAGTAGAGTGATCATCCCAGGTTGTGTATATACAATAAGACAATTTAGGGGGAATAAAGAAAATCAAGCATTAATGTTTGAAGAACAAGTTTCTTGTTTTTCTCTGGTTATCAAAAAAACAACTAAGATAGTCTTTCAGCTGTATAAAATGACTGTAAATATCCAACTCCACTCATCCAACTCCACTCTTTTGTAACAGATCCTGGATATTGCCAAAACTCAAGCATCCCACATTTTTTCCTCTGAAGTTGAAAACAGTTCATAGGCATTCTCCCTATATCCTTATATTTTTTTCAAGTGATATTTATTTTTACAAAAGTAAAATGAGGCACCTTTCTGATGAAAAATAGAAAGTAAACCTGTTTTATGGAACCCACTATTTTTTGTTTCAATTTAAAGGTTCTGAGTAGTCCACGTTTCTGGAATTTTATATGGATAATCACATTCTGCTTATTAACTCTCCTATTGTCTTTATGTATTTTTTTTCTTTTTTAAAAAATTTATTCTTTTCACTGTGGTAATAATATCAGGATTTTCTATATCAGGTATCACCAACATAGGTTATCCACCGCTCCTGTTGTATTTAAAGTGTAAACAGTTTCAAACTAAAAAGCAGTCCTATTTTCAAATCTTACTTTACAAAGTGCAGAAAGGGTCACTATAGGTACCCAACCACTGAATTTAAAAGATTTACCAAAAGTCAATCAGTAAATCTTGCCAAAGGTCACACACACTGGTAGGTTTTAATATACAGCTGTGAGCAGAGTTTAGAAAACAGGGCAGGTGCAGTTATCATGTAAGAAACCCTGCCAAATCATTAAGGATACATGATCAAAAATATTTATTAAAACTATAGCATTTGGAAACTCTTTTCCCTGTCCACCTGTGACAATGCAGGTGTCTTTTTTTTTCTCTTCCTTCTCTTCCTAATAAGCCTGTCCTTTTAAAATTAAAAAGAAAACAAAACACACCCTACATCATTGCCCTTTTTCAAATAAGCAAGACCACAGGAGCGATGGATAATCTATGTTGGTGATACCTGACATAGAAAATCCTGATATTACCACAATTAAAAGAATAAATTTTTTAAAAGAAAATAAAAATAAAGACAACAGGAGAGTTAGTAAGCTATATGTGATCATCCATATAAAATTCCAGAAACCTGGACGACTCAAATCTTTAAATTGAAGATTTTTCAATTAAAAAAGATAACCTACTGATAGCAATTGTAATTGTTAATATTTATTGTCATTCACTGTCTGCCAGGCACTATTCTATTATTTCATTTAATGGTTATGGATCTTTAACACTTAATGATCTTGATTCCAAAGAATTAAAATGGTAGCTCTAAAGTTTTGCATTTTAAAACCGATGAACAATTGTCACTGAAGTTCTTCCTTCCCAGCAATTTTCTTATATAGATACTACTCTATGAGCAAAAGACCAAGACAAGAAAGCAAATAGGGATATGAAAACTATGGTCGAACTTCTAGTCCATTTGAAACAGTCATTATTTTATAATAGAAGCCAAAATCTTGTGGTTTTGTTGCCTTTTCATAAGTGTTTTGTTTAGGAAGAGGGTGTGGAAACATATAACAAACTTGTAGCTTCACTTTCCATCTCATCATCTTTTCTTTATGAGGACTTTTTTTTAAAGATTTATTTATTTATTCATACAGAACTGGGGTAAAAGCCAGAAGTGCAGAGGTGATGGAAGGCTTCACCAGAAACAAAGTGGGGAGCAAAACAGGCAGATAGACAAAGTACACTGCTGAGAGGAGCAGCGGGCGGGTCAGGAGAGGTCTGCCGTGCCATGTGAGTCACCTCCAGGGCGGGGATCGAACTCACATTGAGGTAGCTGCAGCCAGCTTGCAGTGCTATGTCCTAACTCGTTGTGCCACCAGGGAGGGTCCTCATCATCTTTTCTTATCCCTAAAAAGCACCCTTTCAGAAAACCACACTCCAGACCCTTCAAAACTGTGGGACCCATTCATTCTTCCCTGTAGATGAGAAAGTCAGGTTTCTTGCTGCAACCACAAGAGAATGCACATCTTGGGACGCTGTGGCACCTCAACAAGAGGGCATTGGTCAGGGCTTACAGCACTTGGACTGGCTTTTGAAGACATGGTGGATGCTTGAATGAAACAGGCCATTGACCAGACTTCCCAGTCTGTCTGTGACTGGGTACTTTCAGTGCTAAATCCAGGAAATTTCTGCAAAAACCAGGATAGACTGATCACTCTAGGTGGCTTTGTCATGCATTTGGTTCCTGTCAGTAAGTAGGAGTAATTATGTGACCAGGTTTCTATAATAAACCTTATTTGTAAGTGAGGATGACTTAGCCAAGGATAATGTTGTCATTGCTCAAAAAGCAACAGTCACTTGTTAGTTAGGATGCAAATGTTTGGTCATTTTTGTGGCTTGGACACTTTTCATATCTAGAGTTATGTTTGGACATGAGTGTGTATTTTTTTTCTTGACCCATCACAGTCACAGCATAACCTTTTGTAATGTTGATGCTGTGTAATATGCCCAACAAAAAAAAAACATCAAGGTCCAAGTGACAGTACCAGGCCTGACCCAGCACTCAGAGGCTGCTAGTTTCATTCTTACTAATATGCACTATATCCACGCCCTACTGTTACACAATACACCTCTCCTCTCTTTACATTTTTGTTCCTCTCTATCCCTTTCAAGTTCTACAATAAGCCTAAAGGATGCTCATGATTCCCGGATATGGGGACACAAAATCCTTGACCCTGGGCCAGTCTATTTCTACCCTTATAAACTAGTAGAATTCTTTTTCTGAAGGGGACAGTCTCTGTCTGAGAAGAACGCCCACTGAAGAGGAGTATATAGAGTAGTACATGCAGGTAAACCTTTAATTAAACTTTACCCAGTTTGCTGGGGTTTTGACTTGTTTTGATGGTGTTAGAATAGTGATAGTTAAGTGGTTATGTAACTTCTTAACAACCCTTTCCCAAATCTGCAGAGACATCCATCCACTTCTGTCTTTCCCAGATGTGCAAGAAAAGTCAGAACATCTTACTTACTTAAAAGCAGAAAATTCAGAACACGTTAAACACTTGGCTGCTGAGCAACCAGGTCTTAAAAGTTAAATTATGCTGTTAATAGGTAAATCACATAAAGAAATGTTTAGATTTGACTGTAGTAAAGTCAACAATGTGGGAGGAATAAAATACTTCTTAATTTTATCTTTTTTATCATTTTGGCTGTGTCCAATGAATGGATTAGAAAGTGAGGTTTTTGGCGTCTCGGACTCCCCAAACTCACTAAATCCCAATTAAATGCATGGAATTAAATGCATGGAAAGGAAGGGTTTAGTCAGGGCAGCAAACTCACAAGTTTTAGAATAGTGTTTTTCTGGACATGAGAGTGGAAGTAAAGACAGAGCATACAAATGAAATTACAATGTAATAAAAATTTCAATAAGACATATATTTTCATATCTATGACAGATACATGTATTATAGATTATATTGAAAGGTGTTGCTGAAGGAGCCCACATGAAGTCTTAGAGAAGAGAGGTTTATTGAGCCCCGTTGCCAGGCAGGACTTCAAGGGAAGGGGGACCTCGCCAAGTGCGTGTAGGGAGAGAATTTACACCCAAGAGGAGGAGGAGGAGGGAAGGTCGCAGCTCAGAACTGCTAAGGCGGAATGCACCCACCAAGAGGAGAAAGTCAAGGCCCACGGAAGACCCGGGTGACCCCCCCCATCTGCACAACCATGAATGTGGGCAGAGTCCTGTTGCCATGACCTCTGCCTCCTCCTATCCTATCAGTAGGCCGCCAGGTCAGGGGGGACTTCTGCTCCCCCTGCACTGCCCAGACTGGCCTAAAATATACTATATATATTAAGAGATATATATTTTATATGTGTGTGAGCTTAATTCAAGAAAAATAATCAGTTCCCCTTCAAATGAATCTCAAGTCTATCTCCTTGTGACCATCTCCAAGATTTCCTCTTTGTTA